GTGAAATTGTGGAGGAGGGAATGAAAAAATTGAGGACGGAAAATAATAAAATTGTGGAGGAGGAGAAAAATAAAAATAAAAAGGAGAGGGGTAAGTAAAACATTGTTTGCAGCGTAAAAAAAAGCTAGTTTGCCTCTACCCTCATTAATATGCACAATTTGCACCCCAAAAATCAGTAAACCGGAACTAGGACAATCACAGCAGCAGGAAATAAGACTTGCGTAATTACGTTACGTCTCAATGATTTTAAGTCACAGACAAGTTTGACTTTACTCCTCAGACACTATGAATTAACTAATGAAAACGTTTCTTATTTTCTAACTAACCAATCGAAAACGAAGACGTTTATCGACTTCAAAGTAACTAGAAAACCTAAACCAACTAAAAATAGCACACGACCTTATCTTAATGAGATTGCTGCGCATTTTACTCATGAAATAAAGACAAAAGGTTATGACGTCATTGGCGTTAATTCATACCTGCGCAAGTTAATGAAATTCCTGCGCAAAGAATCTTTATTTCCAGGTGCTATGAAAACGGCCAAATAAAGCGCACATAAATTCCAAAACGTTGTATTTTCAATAGTCGTGATAACTTAAAGTATCGAATACGGTCCCAGACATTATAAAAATCCTATAAGGAATTATAATTTACACCGCATTTCCAGGTTACATGCCATTGCTTCTGTTTTTATTCAACTTTAGCGTCAAATTATAAGAACACCGTTGAAATACACCTGTATCTAGAGGTAGGTTAACTCAGAGGGAAGGTAAAATAAACCTACATCAATACAAGAATGATGAATGATCATTCTCTCCCAAAAAAAATCAGAGGAAATTTTCGTAGGACTGAACCCAATCAAAACAAGTTAAGAACTGTTTTGGATGGCTCCATCATTGTCAAGGTCGCCTATAAGGCTAGAGATAAAAAAGATCTATAGTCATGTACGTGTACATGAATGGAGCATAATCATTTTTTGACTGAGAGCCTCGGAACTTTTTGCAAAGAAATCAGAAACTTTCGGAGATGAACGAATCGTCTACGGAATATCCTGGTACACGGTACGCTAACAATATGGTCTCACCTTTTAGAGGCCAGACATGTGTGTACGTTCATGCCGTTTGCAATCAAATGCCCTTGTATAGCACTTATCACAATACTTGCACTGATAAGGTCTCACTATTGAGTGTTACTGAACGTTCATGCCGCTTGCAATCCGCGGTCCTTGCAAAGCACTTGTTACAATATTTGCAACGATAAGGTTTCCGTCCTGTGTGACTAAATTCATGCTGCCGGCGATTTGCTAGCTGGTTAAAGCTCTTCTTACAATATTTGCACTGATAAGGTTTCAGTCCTGTGTGACTAAATTCATGCTGCCGGCGATTTGCTGGCTGGTTAAAGCTCTTCGTACAATATTTGCACTGATAAGGTTTCATTCCTGTGTGTACAAATTCATGTCGCTTACAATCTATTGCTCTTGTAAAGTACTTTTCGCATTACTTGCACTGATAAGATTTGATTCCTCTGTGTATAAGTTCATGCTGCTTGCAATGTGATGAGCTGCTGAAGCATTTATCACACCACTTGCACTGGTAAGGTCTTACTCCCGCATGCACCAATTCATGCCGCTTGCAATTTGACAACTGACTAAAACACTTATCACAGTGCTTGCACTGGTAAGGTTTTACTCCTGTGTGAGTAAGTTCATGCCGCTTACAATCAGATGATCCTTTAAAGTGCTTATCACAACACTTGCACTGATGAGGTTTCACTCCCGTGTGAATTACTTCACGTCGCTTTAGATGTGATGAATATGCATACTGGCACTTACCCACTGTCGCCTCACTTCCGAAAGTGCCTTGGTTTGTTGAATTAACTGTTCGCTGTTGCATGTTGATTTTTCGTTCTTCCATGGTTTCAATGCGATATGTACATGTATGATTGTGATGTTTCTCTCTTTCGCAAAGTGCAATGATTGTGGTTTTATCGTCTTTACTTGCTGCAAAACACCAAAAAAGATTAGTTTTCACAAAAGTTCCCTTCCTATAAAAACAGAGTCCAAAAGTTTCACACTTTGTCATTCCCCAGTAAAAACCAGAGATAACGGGGTACAATTGTACATACACTAAAGTTCACAAGGAAGAATAATTATCAAGTCCAAACCCCTGCCTTGTTTAGGGTCAGTAATTTAAAGAAAGTCTTTCTTAGACTGCCCTTTAAGGCCCAGGTCAAACCTCGAAATTCAAATGTAACTAAAGATTATTGGTCAGCAAAAACCACCTGCTTCCACGCAAGATACTCACGTGCAGGAGGTCTGAATGCGCCGGTGCAATTGACTGTGACCTTAACTACAAAGGACGCTGTTAAGTTATAAACTCTTTAACAGGACATAATATTTACTTTGTGATTGACAAGATTGACTAAAGGATAAAGTTGTAATATGGCAATACAGCCTTGCTCTTTGCGGGTGTTCTTGTATATATTTTTGTACCACAAAATA